GACCAATGGCAATCTTTACTCCCTAATAATATCTTTCATTTATATCATGCCTTTTCAAAAGAAATGTTACTTATGTCATTTATAGTTTCTGCCTATTAATTTTAATTTCTTTTTAACCCATTTCTAGTGAGTACCTCTATATAAAGCATTGGAGTATAGATCTAGGGCTGGAATGAACCTCAGAGTGTCTAGTCCAGCCCCTCCTCATTTAACACATAAGGAAAATGAAACTCTAAAGAGATGGAGTGACTTTGCTGAGGTCACGACACATTAGTGGGGTGAATCAGAGGTAAAATTTGAACCTAAGTACTCTGACTCTACCCTTTTGTGTGACAAATCATATAACCTTCTTAGACTTTAATTACCTCATTTGTAAAAAGAAAAAAGGAAGGTGAGGCAAGAGGTTGGACTACATAAGTAGTGTCAAACTCAAATAGAAATGGATCCCTACTGGCCACATATTGACTTAGAAAACAATAAATTAACATTATCTGTGTTTTACTGTATTTTCATTTATTTTGTTAAACATTTCCCAGTTATATTTTAACCTGATTCCTCAGCCCCAGGACTACATGATATCTAAGATTCCTTCCAGCCTCTGATATGTGATACTAAATCTTTCCAAGGGTATAAAATGAATCCTTATTCTAGTTTATTATGCATATGTTTGGATACAGTAAAGGAGGAATTGAAGTAATACTTGGAATTTTACTTCCAAATTAGGGATCTTATCCAAGAGGGGAATAAATATTTATTAAGTGCCTCCTATGTGCCAGGCACTGTGCTAAGTGCTTTACGAAAATTATCTCTTTTGATCCTGTCTGACTGCCTATCTGATTTGTTTTGCTGAAAACAACAGAATTGAGAGAAAACAATTTATGTGTGTAACTGTTTGATTTACTATAACTCTCCAGAGTACAGACTGAAATAAAATATTAGCTTCATTTAAAAAAAATCACAATATTAACATGAAATTTTGTTCATTGTTTCTATTTTTATTGCCCATTCCTTTGTGAAAGTCTGGATGGTCGTTTTAAATTAACCAGTAACCTACAGCTTAGCATTTCTCCAGGGAAAGTATTAAAAAATTGGAGGGCACCAAACTTTGATTATGTTTCAAATGTAAAGTTAAATATAATAGTATAAAACTTTTAAAAATGATCATTATGCTTTTCTAATTTGAATTTTCTTCAGTTTTTCTTTTATAATAAATATCTCTTCAATTTCCATATTTTACTTGTTAAAAGTTAAGATCCAGTATTAGCTTCATTCCTACTTACTAATATAGTTAGTGAGCTTCCCTTTGGTTTTACAAGAAGGATTTTGTTCTTTGTTGAATATAGGTATTGCTTTGTATTTTGCCTTCCTAGTTACTAGTGGATTTGAATGTTGGTGATGATAGTTTTTTGTTTATTTTGGTTTGGGGTTTGTTTTGGTTTTGGTTTTGGTCAGTACCTATGATTTTATTGGTATAGTGAACTACCAATAAGGAAATTCTCCTTACCAAAGCAGACCAGCAAGTGAATGAAGTTGCTTGAAGGCATTGAGAGGTTAACTTGGACATTAATTACCAAGGTCTCATATGTATCACAAACTGGACTTTGAGACAAGGTCTTCCAGATTTTGAGGCCAGTTTTCTATTCAGATAGTATATAGTAATGTGCTAATATATTAATAATACCTTGTGTTGATAATTGATAATTAGGTGGCTAAATACTTCAGGCTGATATGAAGTAATATTAGCCAATATGATCATGTATTAAAAAAATTAATGACCATCATAGGTTTAAAACACCTAATAGTATGGATAAAAACAATTTCTGCACTTAAAAAGGTCTGTCTTTGAGAGAAAAGATATTGCAGTTTGGTACCATAAAAATTTGTATGGACAGAAGTACCATCAATGTAGATAGAAAAACACCTGAGAAATGCAACTGAAGGTTTGAAGAGAGGAAAAGATGTAGAATCAGGGGTGGGAAACCTGTGGCCTCAAGGCCACATGTGGCCCTTTAGGTCCTCAAGTGAGATCTTTTAACTGAATCCAGACTTCACAGAACAAATTCCCTTAATAAAAGGATTTGTTCTGTAAGAGTTTAACTCTGTCAGAAAGCCGAACCCAAGGACCTAAAAGGCCATGTGTGGCCTCCAGCCTGAAGGTTCTCTACCCTTGACGTAGATAAATCACTGTGGGGGGAATGTGATAGGAAATCAGTAGTATAGAATAGAAGGGTTTTTGAGTAGTAAGGAGAAACTAGTTGAAATTATGATATACTTTTTTAAAAAAAAATAAGTAAAATCTGAAATAAAAAGTCTTAGCTTTAGGTAGGTAGAAAAGCTTGTATAGGAAGCAGCATGATGTTATAGAAAGAGTGCTAGTCTTAGTGTCAAGTGAGTGAATGATAGGTTCAAATATTGCCTCTGACATGACTACCTTCTTGTGTTACCCTTGGCAAGCTGCTTAATCTGTTTCCTCATCTGTTAAATGGGGATAATAAATACTATAGTACCTACCTTTCCCTGTAGTTATAAGGATTAAATATAACATATAAAGTATTTTGCAATCCTTTAAAAGCATGCTATAATTGTCAGCTGATTGTTGTTATTGTTAAATGAGTTAACAAATGAGTAAAAGTTGCCTTTCTTCTAGGTTTGTGTGAACTTCCCATTGCCTCTGGATTTTTCCTTTTTAAAATAATTGTAATCTGTGTGTATTCAGTCCTAGTTATATTCATCCTTTCATATAGGTCTTTCCATATTTTAATGCACATTCCATATTTATGACTTTATGGCACTATAATATTCCATTTGACTAAAATACCATGACATACTTGGCCATTATCAAATTATTAGACACACAAGTTGTTGTTTGTGATTTTTTGCTATTTCAAGAAGAGCAGCTATGAATATTTTTGTACAGAAGCTCTTTTCCCTAGTTTAGGATATTTTAGGGACAGAATTCCAGATGATCACTTTTGTGACTTTTAACTCATAATCATATTACTTTCCAAAATGCCTATGGTAGTCTTTTTCATTCACAGTTTGTTAGAGCTCCCACTTGCCTGAAGCCCCACTAATGCTTACTTCCCAATTTTTTGCTATTTTCTCTTTCCTAGTGAATATAAATTGAATTCAGGCACATCATTTTACCTCTCTAAGCATAAGTTTCTTCATACGTAAAATGAGGGAGATGGACTAAATGACATCTGGGTTTCTCTTGCCAATTCTAAAAGCTGTTATTCCTCTAGGATTCTCTCATCTCAAAATAGCCTTTTCCTGACCCAACTATCTCCACATTTCTCTCTTCCCTTTCATGGCCAAACTTCTAGAAAGAAAAGTCTGATGATAATCACTTACTTTATAGATAGTATCTCAGGATTTACAGTGCTATTTCATTGCAACAGTGAGAATCATATCATTCCATGTTTCCCTCTGCCTTAAGAACCCTAATCCTATTCTTCATCCTCACCTTCTATCCCTTAGTTATTTCTCAAGTATAAGCAGCACTTTGCTCCTTTATCTCAATCTCTGGATTTATCAATTCAACCTTATGCTCAAATATCTTGCCTTCTTTTTCTGTTGTTTATCACAGCATGCCAAACCCAGCCTTGGATTATTCCTGCCATTACCTACCTTCTTTCTTATTCCTGTGCTGCTGATTAGAGCAAGAGAAAGTCAAGAAACTTCATTGACTGAACCGACTATAGATTTATGTTACCTTAACTCAGCTGGGTCGTCACTGATGTAGGGCCATCTTTTCATACCTCCCTAAATCAGTTCCATCTCTCATTAACCACTGCAATTCCAAATCTTTTAATCCTTCCTCAAGCCTCCTATCACACTCCCTCCCTACATCCTTTTAGCTGAGGGCCTCAATTCATGCTTCACTGAAAAAATTTAGGCCTCTTAAGGAAAGCTTTTGCTTTCCTTCTCATCTCACCATCACTCAGATATCTTTGCCCATTAAGTCCTCCTTTATTCCTGTAGCCCTTTTCCTTGCTAAGGCAAACCCTTCTATATGCATCCTTCATCACATCCAATCTTGTCTTGTCCAGCAGATTGCTCCCTCAGTCATCCCATTTTTCACAAATCTTTAATCTCTCCCTGGCTATAGTTTTCTTTCTTTCTACATATAAACACATTGCTGTCTACTCATCCTTAAAAAACCCTAACTTTGAATATGCCATCCCTGCTAGCTAACATCCTATATTTCTTCTCTTCTTTTTAGCTAAACTCCTTGAGAAAGACATCTATAATTGGTGACTCCACTTCCTTAATTCTAAGCTCTATGGGTTTTTTAAGGCAGCAAGATGATGCCGTGGATAGAGTGCTGGACCTGGAGTTAGGAATTCCTGAGTTCAATTCAAGCCTCAGGTACTTATTAGCTGTGTGACCCTGAGCAAGTCACTTAACCACTGATTGCCTCAGTTTCCTCAAGTGTAAAATGAGGATAATAACAGCACCTATCTTGCAAGATTGTTGTGACGATCAAATGAGATGATATTTATAAAGTGTTTAGCACAGTGCCTAGCCCATAGTAGGTGCTATATAAATGCTTGGTCCCTTTCCTTTCCCGATTCTAGCTTTGAACCTCATCATTCAATGGAAACTGCTCTTCAAAAGCATCAATGATCTTTTAATTGCCTAGTCTAATGGCCCTTTCCCCCAGTATCATTCTTCTTGACCACTCTAAAGGCTTTGACACTGTTGATTACTTTCTCCTGGATGCTCTCTTTTCTCCATGTTTTCAAGATACCACTTGCTTCTGGTTGTCTTCTTACCTGTCTGACCACTTTCTTTAAGTCCTCCCAGACTTGGGCCTTCTCTATACTGGCTTCTCTTATTCCATTCTCTCCATGGGTTAAATTTTCATTTCCATGAAGATGATTCCCCAATCAATATATAGAGTCAGTTTTGCTCTAACCTGCATTTTGAAAATGCAGATTTGTTGAAATTGCTATATTAGGGAACATTTTGAGCATAACTTGAATTTCTGTTTCCAGGTTTGCCTCTGCACAGTTTCTTCCAAGAGAAACACCAAGAATGCAGAAAACTGCACTACTTCACAATAACTCACAAGCTGGAACCCTTCGGATGCCCACTTCTATAAGCAAACTTCAGATCATTTTCAAAGTAAAGTGCCATATTTATTATAAATGTTCTTCGGTTGTAGTAGGACAGAGAAGGACTGTTCTATATTACTCCCATCCCTGTCAGACATGGTCTCCAGCCTTAAGGCCCAAAGTCATGGCCTGCCCATCTTGCTCATGCAACCTAGGAACTCAAGATCTCAGCCACCATTTATTGTAGTATTTATGTATTTCTTAACCATTTAACATGTATAAAACTGCTACTGTTTTTATTAGGTTTCTGAAGTCTTTGTGTATGTGTGTGTGTGTTACTAGTGAAGTTTTTGAGCATTGTGCCCCAACCTTGTTTTCCCTGTAAGCCTTGTGTGTTGTTTTGTTTTGTTTTGTTTTTTCCTGCACAATTTTGCATAGCATAGTACTGGAGGCAGAAGAAATGACTTTATCTAGTCCTGTCTCTCCTGGGCTGTAGTCTCAAATCATCATTTGTTATTTGGACATCTCAAACTGAACATCTCCTTGGAGTTTCAAACTCAGACTTGTGGAAAACAAAACTTATCTTCTCCACCCTCTCTCCCAATCTTCCACCCCAAGTCAGTCAGTCAGCTAGCATTTATTAAGTGCTTGCTGTGTTCTAGATACCATGTTAACCCCAGTGAATACAAATAAAAGCAGAAAGAACACTCCATCCCTTAAGGAGCTTTCGTTCTAATGGGAAAGACCACACATCAAAGGAAGCTGAAAGGGGAGGGGGAAGGGGGGCTGTGAAGGTACTCAGTGGAGAGCATAGTAGAGAAAGTCTAGAATGGGGTCTGAAGAGGAATGACCTGGGCAGCCTCCTTAAACGGAGGTTCTAGGAGGAGCCATCCAATCAAAGGCAAAGGCATAAGGATAGCAGGTACTTCCATTATACTACCTACAAACAAGCTAAATTGAAGATAATCAACAGAGGGAAGGCACTAGAATTAAGGGGGATCAAGAAAGGCTCTCTGTAGAAAATGGGATTTTAGCTAGGACTTGAAGGAGAAGACAGAGAAGGCTGGAGGCAGTGATAAGGAGGAAGAGAATTCCAAGTGTGGATGAGAGCCACAGAAAATTCCCAGTCAGGAGGTGGAATGCCTTGTTTGAGGAATAGCAAGGAGGCCAGAGGCACTGGATTGCAGAGTACATGACAGGGTTAAGGTGTATAAGACTGCAAAAGTAGAAGGGGGCCAGGTTATGAAAGGCTTAGAACACCGATCAGAGGATTTTATATTTGATCCTGGAAGTAATAGGTAACCACTAGAGTTTAATGAGTAGGGGGTTGACATGATCAGACCTGTGCTTTGGCAGCTGAGTATAGAATGAACTAGAGTGGGGAGAGACTTGTAGCATGAGAGACCAACCAGTAATGTATTGCAGCAGTCCAAGAATGAGTTGATAAGGACCTACATCAGGGTGGTAGCAGTGTCAGAGGACAGAAAGGAGACTATGCAAAGGATGTTACAAAGGTAAAATCAGCAAGCCTTGGCAACAGATTGAATATGGGTAGTGATAAAGAATGAGGAGTTGAGGATGATGCCTATTTTGTGAGCCTGGGTGACTGGGAGATTGTACCCTCCCAGTAATAGAGAAGTTAGGAAAAGGGGAGGGTTGGGGAAAAATAATTCGTTCATTTTTGGATATGTTGAATTTAATGTGTCTATGGGACATCCAGATTGAGATGTCCAAAAGGTAGTTAGAAATGTGAGATTGGAGATATTTGAATCCTTAGAAGTTAATGAGATCACCAAGTGAAATAGCATAAGGGGAGAAAAAAAGGGGGCCTAGTAGGACAGTACTTTGCAGGAAACATTATTAGCAGGCGTGACCTGGATGAAGATCAAGCAAAGGAGACTGAGGAGTGGTTGGGTAGGTTAGAGTAGAACCTGGAAAGAGTAATATTACAAAAATCTAGAGAGAAGAGAAAGATAGGAGGGGTTTTTAAACAGTGACAGTTTTTAAAGGCCAAACGGAGTCTGAGTGAGGGTTATAATGATTTCAGGGAGATGTGATATTAGGAGAAGGAAAGAAAAGGGAGCTCCCAGTGAATGCTTTCAATTTTTTTTCCAGTTAATTAAGATGAAAGGTGCTGTGGGAGGCTTGAGAAAAGTGGTTAGGCCCAGTCAAGTTTAGTGATTGGGATAAAGAATCAGTTAGGGAGGTGTAGAAGGACTGCCTTGCTATGTCGAGGACCCAGTGGAGACCAGTTAACATAAGACATCATCACCTGATAACTATAGGAAGAAATTCTGTGAAGATGCAACATTTTATCTGCTCTATTTAAATCTATTCCACATAAATTTATTGTTAATGTTTTAAAGACAGCAAGTATTCTAACACACTAGGAATTTGTATTTCACAGTGCTTTAGCTGATATGTGGAACTAGTTAACATAGAGGACTTTCTTCTCTGTTCAACAGAGGGTGAAGGAAACAAGGGTAAAGGAAAGAGGCTGTAGGGGGTAATCCAGGGTAGTATCCCTAGTTTTCTTCAAAGGCTAGTTTGGCTACCTCCTCCATAAAGCCTTTCCTGAGACTTTCTTCTCCCTCTTCCCCATACCTGTTTTGTATTTATTTTGTTCATACTTGTGTTTAATAGTAGCTAGCATTTATATAGTGCTTTAAGGCTTACAATGCACTTTACCAATTTTGTCTTATCTTATTCTCACAGCAGTTCTCGGAGGTAGGAACTATCATTATCCCTATTGTACAGATGAGGAGACAGTTTAAGTGACTTGCTCTGGGTCTCACAGCTAGTAAATGTCTGAGTTGGGATTTGAACTCAGGTCTTTCTGCTTTCAGGTCTAGCACTCTATTCACTGCATGACCTAGCTACTTTTAATTTATGCATGTTTTTTTTCAATAAAATGTAAGCCCCTTAGGGGCAGGGACTTAATTTTTGTCTTTATATTCCACTTAGCAAAAGGGCGTTGCATAGTGGGTAGAGCCAGCCTCAGAACCAGGAAAAATTGTATTCAAATCTAGACTCTGACTTACACAAGCTTTGTGGCCCTAGGCAAGTCACTAAACTTCTCATTGCCCTAGACAGCTAACTCTCTTAAGACTTTAAATTGCAGAAAAGATGTTGACCTGCATTGGTAGGGGGAGTTTCCTCACCTGGGAGTTCCTCATACTGGTGAAAATCACAGATCTTGTCCCCATCTTGCCTAGTGACTAATACAGTGTTTGGCATATAACAGGTGTTTGATAAATGCTTGTTGAATGATTGAATAGGTAGCCATCTAGAAAGGACTATACATTGTATATTGGTTTTTTCAGGTGTACTTTTACACATGGTATAGGGTATTAATGCTATCAGTATTAACTTTGAATATAAATGATGGTATACACATACAGCTAAGAGGCTTGCTTGGATTAAATTTGAGAACTCATCAGATTTCCAAACTTATTTTGGTGGTTCACTTATTTTAAGAAATAGCTAATATTAATCATTTTCACAAGGAAAACAATTTAGTCTTAGCATTTTTGTAATGAGTTATTTTTTTAAGCAGTATAGCAAATTATATTTTGGGGATGAGGGCAGAATAGATTACATAGGAGTTTTAATCGTGGAATACTTGCCCTTTTGAAAAATAATGCTTATATTACCTTTACAAAGGTCATCCTTCTGATACCTACCTAATCCAGTGTAGTGGTAGCTTTAGTCCTTAGCCTATGCCCCAGTGGAGCTTAATCTCTAGCAAGGTGATGGAATGACTCTGTCTGTTTATCTGGATATTGGCCTAACTTCAGAGAGACTCATTACCTGGTTTGCTGTAGGTTAATAAATCCTGACCCTCATCATCACCCACCACCCCCCAGCATCTCTCAAAACACCACTTACTGAGTTAAAGAAGGATTCTGTAGACTATGGTGGTGGAAGGAGTACCCACACCAATGGAATTACAGGTCATGAAGTATTAAAGAAAAGATAACATTCATGGTACAGAGTCCTGTTTTGTCTCTTTGTGGTTCAATATGACGTTTAGGCATTTCTTTTTAACATTTCTTGTACTAGCATTTTCTGATTACTTAATTTTCCATCAGAGATAAGGCATCATCACGTGGAAGAAATTCTGTGAGGATGCAACATTTTATCTGCTCTTTTTAAATTTCTTACATACAAATTTATGGTTACTGTCTTAAAGACAACAAATATTAAAACAAACTAGGAATTTGCATTTCACAGTTAGCTGACTTATATGAGCATAGCAATTGTATAGGTTGTTAGAGAAAGAGAACTGGCTAAATATAGTGGTTATATTAAACTTAAATCCACCTTTTAAAAAGGTACACTTCTGATTAAAGAAGCAGATGATGAATATTAGTTGAATTGTTCTTACCACTTTTTTTTTTAGTTAGGCTATCTTAATTTCTAGGAAATGGAAAAATCATCAAAAGTAAATATGGGGCCTCAGGCACTTGACACTTATTAGCTGTGTGACCCCAGGGCAAGTCACTTAACTATAATTGCCTCACCAAAAAGCAATTAATTAATTAATTAATGGTTGATTAATTAGGTGGGTGGGCAGGCAAATAAATAAATAAATGGAGACTTTTTAAAGGAAATTCAGATTTCCACCACACTTGCTGTGCTTGCATACAAAGATTTACTAACTCATATTAAACATGACATGCTCTTTGAGTTATTTTTCCTTCAATAGTGATTGGTGGGACCAGTCATCTTCACTTTCACATGATTGGTTCTTGTGATTACATTCGAAGAATGATTGATTAGAGATTACAATGTTTGGCTTAACTGTCTAGAGAGAAAATTAACCTTGTGATCAGGACCTCTATAGCAATATAACTAGCCCAGAAACAGTACCTGGACTCATTTCCTTCATCATATATACATCCTTAAGAAAGAGCAAGCTGTCTGTATAGTAGAGTTTCTTTCAGGTACCTTGTAACTTACTTGCCTGAACCTCTTTTGCTTGGCTTTATTCTGCTTCTGATAATCCTTATAATTCAACATCCTTGATAAATAGGGAAGAGAAAAGCCAGATTTGTATATGAAGTTATC